AGGGTCTCACTCCTCAGTTTAGCTCTGTGTCCTTAGAGCCTGCTGTCTGGCATGCAACACAGTGTAGATAAATATTTGACACATGGACGAAAAGACAAGCAAAGAAACCTACACACAGCAAGCAGCTCTTGTCCCCAAAAGGGCACAAGTCTGTCCCAATTTAGATGGGGAAGCTCTGGCTTAGAGCAGTTTGACTCTTACTTGGGCTTAGCAAAGTTGCCACCTGGATTCATCACTTTTTTCTTGATTTTTCTGGCTCCGCCCTCTTCCCCACCCCACCCAAACTGGGAGGTGAAGGGTTAATTCTTGGAAGCCCCTTTATCCTCTTACCTGAAAGGGATGGGGCAGGGAACTTCCTGTCCCATTTTCTCTGAGTCCTTCCCCAGGCTGGCCTACGCTGGCTCTGGTCCTGGATCCCTCCAAGGACCCCTGAACATCTCAGCCTCAGGAGTAGGTACCTGGCAGGGTGAGTTGACGGGCTGGGATATAGGCTTACGGCTGTGTGGAGAATGAAGGGGGTTTTCAGGCCCCACTGGTGGGTTGGTGGCTAAAACAAAGTCTCGGGAGAATGACGGGGGTAACTCTGCGCTGGAGACTGTGGTGCCAGACAGCAGGATGCATTTGTGACCTTGGGGACATGAGGGAGAGTCCCATCGGTAACGGGTGCCATGCGTTCCCAGGCGGACCGACCAGCCCCAGGACGGGGCATGGGTCTAAAGAAACCGGGCCAACAAAGTTGAGTAAGTTAGACCACTAGAACTATAAGCGGGGGAAGGGGAGGTTATTTATTTCTTGCAGAACACCACTCTGATCTCAGACCTCCCCAGTGTGCGTGGGTTTTATGGTAGCACCAACATACAAATTAGACTGGCCACATTTCGGGTGTAACTAAGAGCTTTCTCCCCCCACACACCCTACCAACCCCCTACAGAGGTGCATATTAATAGGGCTTTTGTCCTGGAGACCTGGGGGGAGGGACAGATTTTCTAAGGCCAACTTGCCTGAATTCCATCTCTTGGAAACCCATTGGCCAGGCCTCACCTAGAAATTCCAGCTGCTTTGTGTAGCTAGCTGGGCTATGACTTCAATTTGAAATTCTCTTATTTCTTACCCATGGTGTGATACTCCAAGCTAATATTGGCAAAATCTCATAATGTAGGACGGAAATAATGGGTCCAGAGCCCCATTTTCACAGTAGTGAGCTGCACCAGGTGTAGCTGTGAATTCAATCATTCTTGGTCTCTCTGAACTTGTTAGAGTAAAAGCTTGATTTAGCAAGTGGATAGGAGCTGGAGGAAGTGAGCGTCAGATCGCTGCCTGGGTTGATACATACATGCTCAGTGTGAACTAGCATTTACTGCAGGGTAGCCGGCCAGAGGGATTCCATTCTCCAGTTGTCTTTCTTTTTTTGAAGACTTATTTATTTTATGTCTATTGCTTGTATGTGCATCTGCACACCAGAAGAGGGCATCAGATCCCATACACAGCTGCAAGCCGCCATGTGGTTGCTGGGAATTGAACTCATGACCTCTGGATGAGCAGCCAGTGAGCTCAGAGCCGTCTCCCCAGCCCCTAGAGTTGTTTTTCATATGCTTCTCCAAACAGTGAAATGAAATTCTGTTTCCTGTGTGTGTGAGAGAGAGAAAGAGAGATTAGGGCTTGGTGTGCTAGGCAAGTGCCCTCCTTCTAAGATACATCTCCAACCCCTCTTTGGGTTTTCATTTGGAGACAACCTCTCACTAAATTGCCCAGACCAGCTTTGTACCTCACTCTAGATGGAGTCCAGGCAAGCCTGGAACTTAATCCTCCTGCCTCAACCCATGCCTGGTTTGATAACCCGCTCCTTTTCTCTTTTTGTTTGTTTTCTGAGACCGGGTCATGGATCAAGCTATCCTTGAATTCCCAATGTATCTGAAGATGACCATGAACTCAAGATCTCCTGCCTCTACCTCCCAAGTTCTGGGATTTGGGGCATGTGTCACCCCTGGCATGTGAGTGCTGGGGATTGGACCCAGGGCGTGGTATGTGTTTGCTAGGCCAGCACTATACCAACAGAGCTACATCCCGAGCCCTACCCCCCTAGTTTTTGAGTGTTGATCATAGACCTTTTCTCCCCTGAACCCTACTGTATTTGTTCTTCGATTCCTAGGATTTCAAGGTACTCATTATTATCGCTGTTTCTTCGCACATGTTTGGTCATTGAAGTTAAGTCATTTCAAATGCCAGGCAAAAGCTTACTGAACTAGACCCAGTGCCTCTTGCTCAAGCCAGGCAGAGACTGCAATGAAGTGATTGGGGTAGGCCAGCCAATGGATGGTGTATTTTAGGGTTCCAGAACAGAGGCACCAACGGCAGATGAAGTAATTGCAATAGGAAAAGCATCTAGGGAATGAATGGCTGCAGTGCAGGAAAGCCCGGATTGGACAGGCTGTGTGTGGGAGGGGAAGGAGCCTGAGGGAGAACCTAGGTCTGGGTCATCATTTCTGCACCATGTCCCTCTTCTTTTCCTCAGCCAGCTTAAAATCAGGGTTTCCTTTGTTCTGTAACAGACCCACACAGTACAACCCTCCTACAAAGGGAATTTAGAGAACTCTCCACCCTGGACACAATCTATGCAAAATTCAGGGCAGAGGCACTTTGCCTAGTCCGTGATAGCCTTGAAAACGTGTTATAATCAATAACGAGGAGAACAATAGCCACACGCCTGGCTCCCTGTTTGCCTGAGGCTCTGGTCCCATCCCCCTACTCGGCATTCCCACTGTTAGTGGGAACGCGGGGGTCAGTTTGTTCTACGGAACTTAAACTGGTTGATGTGTAGCTCAGTAGTAGAATTATTTGCCTAACATTCCTGAGACTTCTGAGTTCTGGGTTCCATGCCCAACCCGGAAAGAGAAGCTAAAACCTTCGAAGCAGTACTGAAGATTTAATGGAGCTGAATTGATTAAGTCCCTAGTCCTTAGGAAGGAAGGAGCTAGCCGGCTGGGCTGGAGGGAAAGGTGGGAGGAGGGGCTTGTGCTTGCGGAACTAGTGCCCCCTGGTGGTCAGTTATAAACACTTTCCACTGCTGCTGGAATTGAGTGACTATCCCTAGGAGAGAAAGGAGCCAGTGCGAGCTGTAATACTACTTGGGAGGTGAGGTCGGAGAGAATTCAAAGCTAGGTGGCGGTACTCTAGTTACTGCCCAGTCCAGCTCTGTTGCAGTGTATTCAATAAACTATTTTTCAAAAAGAAAAAATAGGGAAGGGGGTATAAATCTCCTGTGGAACAGTTTCCGCTTACAGGCATTTATTTTTACTTATTTACTGATTGTGAAGAACTCAGATTCCTTTCTGCATTCCTACAGAGAAGATCTTGTTGAATTGGTTCTCCAAGCTACAGATCTGAAAGGATTGAAATGAAAAACAATTTTTTTTTTGGCAAAAGAAAATTTGTTTAATAAGCACTAGATAGCATAGTAAAATATTTAAATTAATGTCCCTTTTGAAAGTCAGAAAGTATTGCTCATGTCTTAGCTAGGGTTTCTTTTTTTTGAAAAACAATTTTTTGTTTTTGTTTTTCAAGACAGGGTTTCTCTGTGTGGCTTTGGAGCCTGTACTGGAACTCAATCTGTAGACCAGGCTGGCCTGGAACTCACAGAAATCCACCTGCCTCTGCCTCCCCAGTGCTGGGATTAAAGGCGTGCTCCGCCGCCGCCGCCGCCGCCGCCGCCACCACCACCACCACCACCACCTGGCTGAAAAAAAATTTTTAACGATGTATTTATGTTTACTTTGTATGGATAAATGTTTTGCCTGCGTACATGTATGTGCACTGCACATTTGCCTGCCACCCCTGGAGGCCAGAAGAGATCCAAACTCTGGACCATGTGTTTTCGTGACAAGTGCTCTTGCTCACACAATCTTCTTTCCATCTCCAATCCCCATTGCTGTGAGACAAAGTCCCCAGCCTGGCTAGCCTAAAACTTCGTATGTCGCCAGGAGTGACTATGAACTTCTGGTTTTCCTGCCTCGCTATGCCCAGTTTATGCAGTGCTGGCTGGGGACTGAACCCAGAGGGCTGTGTGTGCTAGGCAAGGGCTCTACCAACAGAATTAAGCTCCCAGCCCTCAGAACGACCTGCTTTTTCTGCCCTTGCCTGGTTGCTCTGTCCTACCGCTGCGGGGCATCACTCACGACAGTGGGAAAAGGACTCCTCGGAAGGTCACACTCGATTTTTTACAGTTTTTTTGCAATTTATTGTGTGTGGTGTTTTGCCTGCAGTGCCCTTGGGCCAGTAGAGGGTGGCAGACCTCCTTGGAAACAGTTACACAGACAACTGGGAAGTGAATCTGGGTCCTCTGGAAGAGCAGTCAGTGTGCTCTTAACTGCTGAGACATCTTTCTAGCCCCACATTCTTTTTTATTTTTATTTATTTATTTATTCCTGAGCTGGAGCCTTTCTATTTAGTCCTGGATGTCCTGGAACTCTGTGTAGACCAAGTTGGCCGTGATCTCATAGAGATTTCTCCTACACCTGCCTCCAGAGTGCTAAGATTAAGGAAGCGAGCTACCACGCCTGGCCCATATTCCTACTTTTTTTTTTTTTTTTTGGTTTTTCGAGACAGGGTTTCTCTGTGTAGCTTTGCGCCTTTCCTGGAACTCACTTGGTAGTCCAGGCTGGCCTCGAACTCACAGAGATCCGCCTGGCTCTGCCTCCCGAGTGCTGGGATTAAAGGCGTGCACCACCACCGCCCGGCTCATATTCCTACTTTTTAATGCCTGTAACTCAGGGAGGGATTAGCGTCCCTGCAGCGTATCTTGTTTTTGTGTTCCCCTCCCCCTCTTTTCCCCCCCTTATGTGATAAGGCTGGCCTGGAACTCCTGATCCTCTTGTTTCCATATCCTGGAAAACAGGCGCCGGGATTCCTGCGGCAGATCTTAACTCAGGGTCTTCAGTTCCACAGGTGTGGGAGGAGCTGAGGAAAGGGACTTAGGAGCGGTTCCGTTTTCACAGGTGTGAAAGATGCTGGCAGAACCGGTCCCAGATGCTCCGGAACAAGAGCAGTTCGGAGCAGTGAAGCTGGAGGAGGAGGACTTGCCCGTCGAGGACGCTGTGCGGGCAGAGGCCAGGCCTCGGCCTGAGGTGGCCCACCAGCTCTTTAGATGCTTCCAGTACCAGGAAGATATGGGGCCGCGAGCATCCCTGGGCCGGCTCCGGGAACTCTGCAACCACTGGCTGCGGCCGGCGCTGCACACCAAGAAGCAGATTCTGGAGCTGCTGGTGCTGGAGCAGTTCCTGAGCGTCCTGCCCCCGCACGTGCTCAGCCGACTGCAGGGCCAGGCGCTCAGGGATGGAGAGGAGGTGGTACAGCTGCTGGAGGGCGTGCCCAGAGACTCCAGCCACGTGGGGCCACTGGTGAGCCGGGGCCAGACCATGAGCTGTAGGGGTGGGGGTGAGTGGACAGACACTGGTTACCTCAAGAAGAAAGCTCTGCAAATTCCACTTGCTTCCATCTGTGACTAGAATCCTGGAGCTCATGGGGCGCAACACAACAAAGGCAGCGAACAGAGAGCTAGGAATTTATTTCTTTCAGTGGCACTTTCTACAGAGAGCTGGTGTTTAGAAGGGAGCAGATTAATATCGCAAACAAAACAGAAAAATTGCCTTCTATCTCACCTCGGGGCAGCAAGAAAGGGGTGGGGGTGCCAGTAGAGGTAGTCAATCGTTCAGACTTGGTGTCATCCCTGTGGTCACATACCATTTCTTCTTTCTTTTTGAGACAGCCCTCTCAGTGTAGCCCTGGCTGTCCTGGAGCTCTAGCTGTGGAGACCATTCTGGCTTTGAACACACAAAGACCAGCTTGCCTCTGCCTCCCAAGGGCTGGGATTAAAGTCATTCTCCACCACACCCAGCCTCTGGTCACATTTCTGGTGCTTGTCAAGTCTGAGCCTCTCTTGTTGTTACCCTGCACTCTTTCCTTGATGTCTGGGGCTGAGCACGTCTTAGAACACTGCTGTCTGTCAGCCTTGTGCTCCAGGGTGTCTGGGGCATCATGGGGGTTAACTTGGAGCAAACCATTAAAAGTGTGTGCGTGCTAAGCTATTAATACCGTGTACATGTAGACTCCTTTCTACAGCATGAGGTACACGTGTGTTCTCATGAGGTAGAATATTAAAGCGCCCTTTTCTCTGTCCCTTTCACGACACCGACTCATCCTTACCATCTTAGCTGGGTGGCTCTCCTGTGTGGCTCTGTCCTGTTCTGGTAGAATCAGTAGACTCATGCCACCTGTCTGCCTCCTAAGACAGATATTTTCAACAGGATTTTAGCTTCAGTGCTGGCAAGAGTGCCCCTGCAGACATCATCTCGGAGGGACAGGATATCCCTTCCCAGGCCTCCAACCACAGCCCCAAAAGGGAGCTGCCCTCAGAGGAGACTCCAGCCCTGCATCCATTGAATGAATTACCCCCATCTCAGCCACTGCCCACCAAGCCTGCTGAACCTGAGGAGTGGAAACTTGCCCCAAGTTCAAACTGGCCAGTGAGCCCAGAGCCCCAGAGGATGCTCCAGGACCCACAAGAAAGCCGTGAGGAGCTGGTGTCCTGGGAAGCAGACTGGATGTGTGGGTGGGGGCTGGAAGTCAGAGGAGTGTGGTGGGAGAGTGCTGGGGTAGCTTCATGGTTTCAAGGATGGGTGGTCATGTCTTTAAAGCTGGCAACACTTCTAACAGCAACGTCTTCCTCTCTCGATGCTGCCAGACCCCTCCCAGGGCCCCTCATGGCTTGAGGAGAATTCCAGAGACCAAGAGCTGGCGGCTGTGTTGGTAAGCGGAACCGATCCCTGTCACAGGTCTTTCTGAGGCCCCGGAATGTTGGCTACCTTCTGCCTTTTAGCAGTCCATGTTTCCTTCTATTTAACCCCAGAAAGTACTGCTTCATGAAGGCCTCAGGGCCCATTCTTCACTCAGAAGGGTCTCGGCTCTCTTTACAGGAGTCCCTTACCTTTGAGGATACCTCAGAGAAGAAAGCTTGGCCTGCAAACCCTCTTGGTAAGCTCTGCCCCAGTCATGGCCACTGAATGCTCTTTGCTCAGGGTTCCAGATACCATCTGACTTTCTAACCTTTTGATGCTGACCAAGTCTTGGGTTTGTTCATCTGTTTGTTTAGTGGTGTCCATAACAAAGCCAGGACCTCCCCCTTTCCTGTTCCTTGTGTCTGGTTGTTGTTGTTTTGGTTTTGTTTGTTTTGTTTTTTGAGACAGGATTTCTCTGTAGCCCTACCTATCCTGGAACTCTCTATAGACCAGGCTGGCCTCGAACTCACAGAGATCCTCCTGCCTCTGCCTCTTGAGTGTGAGAATTAAAGACATGTACCGCCACTACCTGGTGAACAAAGACATTCTTTTTTTTTTTTTTAGAAGCATAAATATTTATTTGTAACAAAGGAGTTCGTGTACAGTGTTGAAAATCTACAACTTCTGAACAAAGACGTTCTTTTTGTCCTCAGACTGACCGTCATCGGGTTCTGATGATGCCTAGTAGCTCTTTCAGAAAGATCCTGTTGATAACTCAGTGTGCCACCACCTTCTCCTTCTTCTTCCTTTTCCTCCTCCTCCTCTTCCTCCTTTCTTCTTGGTTCTTGTTTTGTGAGGCAGGGTCTCTCTATGTAACCCTGGCTGTTCTGGAACTGTCTATGTAGACCAAACTAGCAGTAAACTCAAACATCTGCCTGCCTCTGCCTCCTAAGTTGCTGGAATTAAAGGTGTGTACCCCCATTTCCAGCCCTCTGTGTTTGCTTCTTCCCAGGATTTAGGAGCAGAATGCCTGACAAGGAGGATCTTAAAGTTGAAGAACCTAAAGAGAATATTTGGCCTGTCATCATTTTATCAGAGTCCCAGACAGAGGACCCTGGAGTCACAGCAGAGCCTCCTTCCCAGACACTAGGGCAGGAGGCAAATGGTGCTGGTGGAGGAGGGGCCCATGCTGACAGCAGTGAGGTTGTGGACGGCAGAGTAGCTGCAGGTGTCCCAGAGTCCGAGCCAGAGTCGCAGTTTATTTGCACAGAGTGTGGAGTGAACTTCCCACAGCTGTCCAGCCTACAGGCACACCAGCTACAGTCTCACTCGGGCTCTGGACCTCAGCCAGTCTCTCGTTCCTTCCGGTGTCTGTGGTGCGGGAAGACTTTTGGGCGCAGCTCCATCCTCAAGCTGCACGTGCGCATACACACAGATGAGCGGCCACACGCCTGTCACCTCTGCAGCCACCGCTTCCGCCAGAGCTCACACCTGGCGAAGCACTTGCTCACGCATTCCTCTGAGCCTGCCTTCAGATGTGCTGAGTGTGACGAGGGCTTCCAGCGTCGCTCCAACCTCATGAAGCACCTGCTGGCACATGCCCAGGACCAAAATCCCACGCCAGACCCAGAAGGCAAAACGAAAGTGCCAGAGAAGGCTGTTGTCCTCTGTCCCCAATGTGGGCAGACCTTCCAACGGCGCTCCAGTTTAAAGCGTCACCTGCGCATCCATGCAAAAGGCAAGGACCGTCAGTCCTCGGAAGACCCTAGCAGCCTTAGCTCTCGCCAGGAGAGCAAGCCCTATGTGTGCGGTGACTGTGGCAAGGCCTTCCGACGAAGCGAGCACCTAATGGCCCACAAGCGAGTCCATACCGGCGAACGACCCTTTTCCTGCCAGGCCTGTGGCCGCTGCTTCACCCAAAGTTCCCAGCTGATCAACCACCAGCAGGTGCACACAGGTGAGAAGCCTCATGCCTGTCCCCAGTGCAGCAAACGCTTTGTGAGACGCACCGGTCTTGCTCGCCATCTGTTGACCCACGGTGGCCTCCGGCCTTACCACTGTGCCCAATGTGGCAAAAGCTTCAGCCAAATGCAAGACCTGACTCGCCACCTGCTCAGCCACACAGGAGAGAAGCCCTGCCGATGCAGTGAGTGCGGAGAGAGGTTCAGCCAGAGTGCCCACCTGGCACGCCACCAGCGCATCCACACGGGGGAGAAGCCTCACGCCTGTGACACCTGTGGTCACCGCTTCCGCAACAGCTCCAACTTGGCCCGCCACCGCCGCAGCCACACGGGCGAACGGCCCTACAGCTGCCCAACCTGCGGCCGCAGTTTCCGGCGCAATGCACACCTGCAGCGCCACCTGGTCACACACACCGCCTCCAGGCAGGAGATGGAAGACCCCCAGGAGTGCCCCGAGTGTGGCAAGAGCTTCAGTCGCAGCTGCAACCTTCTGCGCCATCTGCTGGTTCACACGGGCGCGAGGCCTTACTCCTGTGTGCTGTGCGGCCGGGGCTTCAGCCGCAATTCACACCTGCTGCGCCACCTGAGAACTCACGCCCGGGAGACGCTGTATTAGCCGCCCCCACGTTCCGCAGCCTGTCCTGCATGCACTTCCCTGCATGACTAAGATTCCCTGTGATGTCCCCCTCACACATACCTGCTCTTGCTTCCTCCACGTTTGGCGTCCCCACCATTGACCTCTTTTCCCTGACCCCAGGAATGTGTGTTTAGATGCTTTAAGTAAAGCTACCTTCTCAAAACTGGTCCTTACGATTTTTTTTTTCTTTTTCGGGACAGGGTGACCTTGAACTTCTGATTTTCCTGCCTCTGCCTTCTGGGTGTTTGGATTATAGATAAATGCCATGTGTGTGGTTTATGCAGTGTTGGGCATCATACCTAGGACCTTCAAGGCAAACACCCAAACAAATGAACTGCTTCCCCTCTGCTGAAGATCCAACCCAGGTTAGACAGGGGTGGCAGTGCTGAACAAAGTGCCATCAGTCACCACATTCCCCCTGTGACACGGTTCCATCTCTGTCCTTCATGGCTGCAGAAGGTCCTCTAGCAGGCTGAAAAGGTGAGGCTGGCCAGCAGTGACGGCAGCTGAGGGAGAAGGTCCAGCGGTCACTCTCAGCTTTTCGCAGGCATCTCGGTAAAATCAGCCTTACCCAACCACAGGCCTCTGTGGCTTGTGGGACTCACTAAGACACAGTCTAGGGTTAAATTGGGGTGCACTAGGAAACTTGGGTGTGGAGGCTTTGTGACTTTCCCAAACTGCACAGTGCCAGCAATTGAACAAAACCTGGTAGCAGGGCAATTCGACTATCCGTTGAGACCAGCTGACTACCCATAATCCTCTAATCCCATGCTGGTTTGGACATTGGCCCAATACCAGGGTGTCACACATCAGGAAGTCTCAGCTGCCTCCTTGCCTGTAAGTCAGGTGACTTGTAGTAAAAGCACGATAAGAAAGAGGAAGTATAACTCTAGAACTTCTGTCACGTGCTTTTCCAGGAAAAGGCTGTAGTTTTTGTGTTTGTTTTGTTTTGTTTTACAGGGGACTTCATAGCAGGAACTTAGCTCCACCCAGGGCTCTGCACCAAGAGCTGACCATAAATAATGAGGGAAGTACAAACAGTGTGCTTCTGTGTGTGTGTACATGGGCACACGTGTACACATGTTGCTGGGTATCAAACCTAGAGACCCCACATGCTGGGTCTGTGCTTCACCAATGAGATGCTCCTCAACCCTGAGGGGAATCTTAGGCCCAGTCAGCAGCAATCTCTAAGCTCTGTACAAGGTACGAGCCTGGGGAGGTTGGGAAGGTTAGGTTGTAGAAATTTACCTGGTTGTCACAGAATACTTTCATTTCGTTGAAGGTCCTGGAGAAGGAAACTTCAAACAGAAAGGGTTAGTTAGCTAAGAGGCTGGGAGTGAGCACCCACAGGGTTAAGCTTTATCTATTAAGAAATGTGGGCCAGGCATTATGTTGGGTTGCTGAAGGGGACAGCCTGAGATGCATCCTTCAAAGAGACAGAGGACCCTCTTGGTGACTAATGACACCTGAAGGAGAGGCTAGGATGGCAAGTTCAATGTTGGCCTAAGTACAGAGTCCAAGTCCAGCCTGAGTGTTAGTTTTATGTGGTGACGCAATGTTATTCATTATCTGGTGCTGTTTACCATGCAAGAAAAGTCACAAGGTACGACAAAACCCACTATAGGAATTTATTAAGGAAAGATGTACTTCGGCCTATGGAAATGGTCTGGCAAAGAGAGAAAGAGGAAGAAGAAGAGGGAGAGGAGTCTGTAACCCCCACATATGCGTGTATGGGCTCACTCATGTGGTATAGCTATGTGATTGTGTGATCAGGCTGTGCACAAATTATGTGACCATGCAGTGCAGGGATTGTGTAGGACATAAGGCCAAGCCTCGTGCCTGGCCACTAGACAGCGCATGGGCGTCCATGTGGTAACACTGAGGGACTTAGAAGACTTCGTCTAAAAGGTAAAATGAGGACGGGAAAAGCACCTGTTTAGCAGGCATAAGGCCCCGGACTCAGTTCTCAGAACTGTCAAGAAACAAACCAACCCGGCAGGAACAGAAAAGCGGTTCATGCCTGTAATCCCCACACCAGGGATGCAGGAGGATCCCTAGTGTGAGGCCAGCCTGTGCTGCATAAAAAGACCCCATCTAAAGTCTGGCATAGCAGCCCAGGCCTTTAATCCCAGCACTCAGGAGGCAGAGGAAGGGTTCAAGACCAGCCTGGTCTACATGGAGAAATCAGGACAGCCAGGACTACATAGAAAAACTGCCTCAAAAAAACAAAATTGAATTAAATTTAAGAAAAAGACTCTGGGGGCAGTGATGGCACACACCTTTAATCCCAGGCCTCGGGAGGCAGTGGTAGGCAGATCTCTGTGAGTTTGAGGCCAGCCTGGTCTACAGAGTGAGTTCCAGGGCAGGCTCCAAAACTACACAGAGAAACACTATCTCAAAAAAAAAAAAAAAAAAAAACAACTGCCTAAAAAATGCCAAGGGGCCCTGGAGAGAGCTCAGCAGTTAAGAGCACTGGTTGCTCTTCTGGTTCAGAGGACCCAGGTTCAATTCCCAGCACCCACCCGGTGCTAACAACTGTCTCTAATTCCAGTACCAGGGAATAGAAGCCCTCTTCTGGCCTCCAAGGGCACTGTGGCCATGAAGTGCACAGACAGTTTTGCAGGCAAAACTGCAGACATATAAAAAGTAAAATAAATTTTAAAAGTCAATAGAGGCCAGGGAGCTCACACACACAGCACTCTGAGAGTGGAGGTAGGGGCATCAGGAGTTCAGGGCCTGTCTCTGCTACACAGGGAGTTTGAGCCTATCTGGTTCCTGTCTTTAAGAACCACAATAAAATGAAAGATTAGGAGACAGGCCTGTTAGGCAGAGGCCAGGAAGGAGATGCTTGGCCCGGCAGCCAGTGTCAAGAGTTGGGTTTTTTGTTGTGTTTTCCCCTTGAATTTAGATTTCATTATCTTACTATATTGAAATATACTTACTATATGAAATAGTTCAAAAGGGGCAGGTCAATGTGACTTCATTTCAACAGAGGGCTCTGCAGACATACTCCCAGGAATGTCACCTCCAAATGAGGAATGATCCTTGCTGGCTACAACTGCTTTTGTGCCTTTATTTAGTTATGTACTTTGAGACAGGGATTCTCTACATAGCCCTGGCTGTACTGGAACTCACTATGTAGACCAGGATGACCTTGAACTCACAGAAATCCTCCTGCCTCTGCTTCTGAGTGCCAGAATTAAAGGCATGTGCCACCACCCCCAGCTGTTTAAGCCCTTATGTTTGGGGAAAGAACCTTGCCTCCAGCTTTCACACTAACAGGTGCATCTCTCCACACTCTCCCTAGACCCTGATCCCACAGCTACTGCTGGTGCTCACACTTTCCCTTGAGAATTTTCTGGAAGCATGCTGTCACTTTTTATTGCAGTTTTAGCTACACTGCTCTTGACCAATACTCTGACGAACACTGGAAGGCAGTCTCGGTGCTTGTCCTGCTGTGACAGTGGCCGCTGCCCTGGGTCCCTGTTCTTTCATAATCACTGTGAGGAGAGGACATCTTCGCTTTAGGAAGCTATGGTGAGCCTTTCAGGAAGGGATGATTTCATCTCCACCAATAAAGTTACTGGTATACGCTGTGAACCTGACATTGTCCTCTACAAGCTGAGAGAGAAGCCAGGAACAGCCCTTTCCATCTGGACACTCACAGGAACCTGTATTATCCACACCTTCATTTCAGACTGTGCCTGTAGACTGCCAGGCCACCACAGGCAATGCCAGTTAATAGTCTGGTGTTAGATTAGTCCATCTGCCTACGGGAACCATACAGAAGGCCATATAATGCCTGAGCAGATATGGGAGAATCTTGGGTCCAAGACTGGGGCATGAAGAAGACCTGGTCACATGAGGCCAATCAGTGGAAGAGGTGGAGGACTGCCCAACTCTCAAAAGGAGCCTCAGAATTCAGGTCATGGCAGAAGAGGGACTGGAGAACTTGCTTAGCTGAGTAGAGAGCCCAGGCTGCCTTCAGTCCTCTTGAGGGCCATTCTGTCCCCTGGCAGAGTAGCATTACTGTGACTACTGATCCCACCTCTGTGGTATTTGAATGTGATTGGCCCCATAAGCCCATAGAAGTGGCAGTATTAGGAGGTGTGGCTTTGTTGGAGTAGGTATGGCCTTGCTGGAGGAAGTGTGACTCTGTGGGGGCGGGCTTTGAGGGCTCTTTTGCCCAAGCTGCCCTCAGTGTGACACTCAGACCACTTCCTGTTGCCTGCAAGATGTACGACTCTCAACTACTTTGCCAGCACCATGTCTGCCTGCAAGTCGCCATGCTCCCTGCCATGATGACAATGGACTGAACCTCTGAGCTGTAAGGGAGCCAGCCCTAATTAAAAACTTTTCTTCATAAGAGTAGCTGTGGTCATGGTGTCCCTTCACAGCAATAGAAACTGTAACTAAGACAGCCTCCCAGACCCCTAGCCCCAAAGGCCCAGTCCAGTGCCTGACAGGTTCTGCCTCCTCCATCCAGGAGCTGCAGCAAGAGCTTGTCAGTGTTCTAGAAGGGTGCAGTGCCCTGCACACCCTAGTCAGGCTTCCCCTCTGACCCACACACCCGGCTGTGGGCCTCACACAAACCTGCAGTTCCCACCTTTCCTCCAAGTCAGGACTTTGCTTGTTTCTTTTCAGTGTGGGGTCAGCCAGGATATGGCACTCACTAAAGAAAGCAGTCTGTTGGGAGCAACACCCCATCTAAGCCCTCTGCTCTGAAGAGGGGTGAGCGGCCCTGCTCTGACTGTTCCTTCCTGACTCTTTCTCTTTCACTTTCCCTTCCCCTGGTCTCCTCTGAAGAGCCTCACACCCACAGAAACCCCACCCTTCCTATCTCCTGTGAGACCAGAACAGCCCAGACCTTCCTCCTAGGCAGACATCAGCTAGCCTTTGAGCTGGGAAGACAAGAAGAAGAAGAAGGTAACAATCTTAGTGGAATTCAGAACCTGGGGACAAGGTCAGCAGCAGATGTC